ACGAGAATTTGTCGAAAGTACACGTATACTCGCCAAACTGGACTTCTGAATACTAGCAACCACCGAAGAAATGCGTCCATACTGGTACTCGAAGTGCTACTTAGTCGACGTGCCCCTGATTTGTTCATATACACAGCGTCGACAAAATGAAAAAAGACACCTACGCACACCTATCACTTAATGTGTTAGAGATGACAACGTATACTGCAAATAAAGGAATGGGATTATGGTCATTTAGTGCACAGTGAAGCATCTTTCAAAAGTCATGGACAATAGATAAAACACAAGGGGCTGCCAATTCAAGGGAACATTCGAATCCCAGGAAGTAATTGAGAGATGTGGCTTCTGGGACAATGATTTTATTCGGCTGACGTTTAAAAATCTGTCGCGGATCCAACATCAGAGGCAATAGCAGAAACGGGTAATTCAAACACAGGGAGTTGCAGTATGTAGAGGATACAATTACTATGCTACTGCACCTTTATGACAATTAACGGTTGCCCCCTCAGTGAGGATAGTTACACGCTTGTGCGCTAATTGCTTTATGGTCGGCGTGCGGGTCGTGACCTGCTGAACTTTCATTACACGTGGTGTGTGTTCCAGCAACCGAGCATCTGCTTCTACACAAGGGACTGGCTAAACCGGGCATTTAAATACTAAGAAAGGGTACTAAATAACACTGCGAAAGATCGATAGAAATACAAATGCAAATACCTGGCTCTGATCCCAGCCTTTACGCGAGATGTTCTCCTTGCTTTCTGTGGACTGAAGAGAGGCCGAATCCACGGAACGAGTGAACACGGACTTGGGGTTGAAGGCGATTGCTTAACATGGTGGGAAATAATGAACCATATTATCCTCTAGTCAAATAATGCAAACTGAAGGACAATGACTAGTGATCATGATTGACCTAAAACGCACAAGCAGTTAGCAGCCAGCAGCTGAAGCCTGAGATTAGGTTAGACTGTGCAGAAATAAAGCGGAAGTGCAATTTCGAAAATTTGCTGAATTTAAAAGGAGATCCGAAACTAATTGTAATCTGCTACTATATATAACCTTTTGACTAAAGAAAAGTTATATTGATATAAAGAAAGAGATATAGTTATCCATTGCACTGTCGACAAGATGTAAATGTGTGGTGTTAATTTATAGTTATTTTTACATCTGCGGGACTTGAGCATTATTTTGAAAAAAATTTTTTAACAATTAGTACTTTTAATATTTCTTTACGAAACAAATATTTCTTAGAGTTCGTACACGCGTTAATGGCGGTTTGCAAATGATTATCAATCTTTCGGAAACTTCGGCATTTTGCATGACTTCCCCGCCGTAGTTTACATGCTACATTCTTTTGGTTTTCAATTTTATTAATGTGGTACGCAGGCGTATGTGAAAGACACAGCTGGCAAAGAAAGGTCACTGCTTACCATCAATGCTTCCGTGGTCGTTCTGCTTCACTTTTACATGAAGAAACCACTCCATCAAGTCTACTTTTATACTGAAAGGGAAGAAAATGATATCAGCAAGGTATGAGCAGGCGGCGTGATTAAAAAACAACAGAAGACTCAAAGTACAAGCGCTAAATTGTCATCATCCCCTGTTAATCAAAATAGTTTGAACAAAAGTCACGACACCCGATGCTACCATCCAGACCGATGCAGGATCTCGACGGTCGAAGGAAAATAATACAGGCCTAGTAGGATATCCAAAACTTACCAGAAACCGGCGAGGGAGAAGTAGACTTTACTCTCCTAGCCCACAATTCGGCGCAGCCGATGGCAACCGCTACGCAGAGAGACATCGGTGCAGGGGAGGTAATGGGCAGGAACCTCATTGCAGCGGTACGGTCACTGCGGGTGGGTGGATGTGAGGCTGATGGAAGTTGAACGATTACACCCTAACGTGAATGCTCTACCGCAGATAGAGTGTTGGACGGCTGATCAACAGGTCGCAGGTTCGAGCCTCGGGTGATGCCCCAGATGGGATTGAGTATGGCTGGCTGATGACGGCTAATGAGCCAGAAATGGCTATTCCAGTTCCCCCACTTTTTGCCGAAAACGCTCATTTGGCCACACTGCTAGCGACTGTGCGGCTGCTGGCGGGGCTCCAGAGTGAGCTCCGTTAGCGACCAGTGGCCGTTCATCAACGAATTTCGCGGATATACTACCGTCCATTTTCACGCAGGGAGATGTATTATGGGAGACAATATCTGGCCTTCTTAACAACGGCACACCTACAACTACAAGCTCTACTGACAAGCAAATGTGAGTGACCGGTTTGTTTGTCCTGACGCCTGAAGCCATCCCCAAATTCTCTTCCCCCACTCCAAACCAAAAGACCTGTGGAGTTAATGGCATGCAATCTCGTAAGCGGACTAAGCTCATTTGGATCGGCCTCTCACGAAACGAAAGTTGCGACCTACGGCGAAATGCGGCAGCCGCCAGGGATGATGAAGCAGTCTTATTTAGGGGTAGTTCTTCCACAGGGCACCTAGTTAGAAAAGAATGCTCTAACATACGCAGTCACAATGGCAATATTCCAACGTCCGGAATGTTCGTCCTCTCTTAGACAATCTGATGTGAAACTGAATGGAAAGGAGGGTGGCTCTGATCAACCGCCAACTGACCTGCTACAAAATGGGAATTGCAGTTCCCAGTTACATTCGCTGTTCTGAAGAGCAACAACTAGAGTAGATGTGTGCCAGACACGCCTTCTTCGTAGCAGTTATCCTCTCTAACCATTTTGGAACCTTTATGACCTCATGGACAGGAGAAGATTAGAGGGCTTCACCCCAACGGATATGTCAACCATATGCGCACCTACTAAAGAACTCTGGACCAAGAACACTGTTTTAATTAGCTGTAAAAGGAGAAGGGGATAAAGTGCCTCCGTTTGGGTTTATGCAATTGCTGAAAATCAGTGAAAAAAGTCGCAATACCTACGAAGACACGCTTTAGTAAATGTAATTGACTCATTTGGATGGAAAAATGCACACTCAAGAGACAACATCCTGACTTGTATGAACTGCCCTCAGATTACGCTACAGGCTAATAAACCGCGAAACCTTGCTCTACTGTTCCTTTCTAGCTGCAACCACAGTTTAACAATGCAGTCAGCATTTCGTACGTTTGGTCACTTACTGCAGGCTTTTGCCTATTTCGCAGCTAGTACTCAGTAAGGTCCGTTTCAATACTGCTAACTGTTAATGGTAATATATGGTTGTGATCAGGTAACAGCAGGAATTAGACAGACCTACCGCAAAGCTGACAGACGGCTGAACCGATCAGAGTTTTCTTTGGCTAGAAGAGCGACGCGCTTCTCTTTCTCGGCAAGCTTCTCTTCAAGCTCCCTTTCCTGTTCAACCACTGTCTTTTCAAGTTCTTTTAGTTTGAAGCGCGCCTTGTCCTGATTAACTTGCTGAACATCCAGCGATGAGAGCAGGGGCGACAAAGATGCGGTTTGACGTTCCTGCACTGCAGAGGTGAGTTTAGATTATGGCCAAGCAACCACCATAAAGATCTCAAAACTGTATACTTTGAATGTGAAGAATTGGCAAAGAAGCTGCAATGGTACGGCCGAGAGGAAGGATGAACAATAAAACAAAACGACAAGGAAAACTGAGGATATGGCACAATCTGCCATACATCTGGGACGCCTCGAAAGCGACTGAGAGCATCGTTGCGGGACTAGGTGTTAAAATTGACCATCGGACCACAGCAAGGTGGTGAAAATTAAAGACCCACTAAATTCTCAGGAGCAATCTTGCGAAGCGTATCGCATTCCATGCCCAAGCTGTCCATGTAACTACACAGGTTAAACTGAACGCATGCTTGGATCGCGCATGAACATAAACTGACTGCGGCAGGGCCGCGAAGTATCGCAAGTTGCCGCTCACACGAACGAAACGGGCAGCCATCAAGACGATCGCCCAGGCCGGTAACAAGACGAGCCGAGAATTGATTGAATTCTGGTCCACTGATGGGAACTTAATCAATCGATGTGTAGGTTTAGTGCTGGCGTACAGAGCCCTGCGCAATCACCTTTAGACTTGCATATTTGATAATTCATTGGCTAACACAGCCTATACTTGTAGCCATTTTGCTGCTGCTGCTGCTGCTGCTGCTGCTGCTGCTGCTGCTGCTGCTGCT